GCGTACTACTTGACAGGTGAGACTACTGGCCATACAGGTGCATTACTACTTGCCATACAGGTGCGTTACTACTTGCCATACAGGTGCGTTACTACTTGCCATACAGGTGTATTACTACTTGCCATACAGGTGCGTTACTACTTGCGTTACATACAGGTGCGTTAAAACTAGATATACAGGTGCGTTACTACTTGCCATACAGGTGCGTTACTACTTGCCATACAGGTGCGTTACTACTTGCCATACAGGTGCGTTAAAGGTGCGTCACTACTTTGCCATACAGGTGCGTAACATCTACTTGACATACAGGTGCGTTACTACTTGCCATACAGGTGCGTTACTACTTGCGATACAGGTGCGTTACTACTTGACATACAGGTGCGTTACTACTTGACATACAGGTGCGTTACTACTTTTCAGGTGCGTTAATACTTGCCATACAGGTGCGTTACTGACTTGCCATACAGGTGCGTTACTACTTGCCATACAAGCGCGTTACTACTTGACATACAGGTGCGTTACTACTTGCCATACAGGTGCGTTACTACTTGCCATACAGGTGCGTTACTACTTGCCATACAGGTGCGTTACTACTTGCCATACAGGTGCGTTACTACTTGACATACAGGTGCGTTACTCCTTGCCATACAGGTGCGTTACTACTTGCCATACAGGTGCGTTACTACTTGCCATACAGGTGCGTTACTACTTGCCATACAGGTGCGTTACTACTTGCCATGGTGCGTTACTACTTGCCATACAGGTGCATTACTACTTGCCATACAGGTGCGTTACTACTTGCGCCATACAGGTGCGTTACTACTTGACATACAGGTGCGTTACTACTTACATACAGGTGTAGACATACAGGTGCGTTACTTCTTGACATACAGGTGCGTTACTGACTTGAGATACAGGTGCATTACTACTTGCCATACAGGTGCGTTACTACTTGCCATACAGGTGCGTTACTACTTGCCATGCAGGTGCGTTACTACTTGGTGCGTTACTACTTGCCATACAGGTGCAGTTACTACTTGCCATACAGGTGCGTTACTACTTGCCATACAGGTGTATTACTACTTGCCATACAAGTGCGTTACGTCTTGCCATACAGGTGCGGTACTACTTGACATACAGGTGCGTTACTCCTTGCCATACAGGTGCGTTACTACTTGCCATACAGGTGCGTTACTACTTGCCATACAGGTGCGTTACTACTTGCCATACAGGTGCGTTACTACTTGCCATACAGGTGCGTTACTACTTGCCATACAGGTGCGGTACTACTTGACATACAGGTTCGTCACTGATGATTGTCAAACTATTTCAAAATCTGTCAAAGTTTTGTAGATGATATTGGAGACATTTTCCGCATCAGACTATGTGGCATTGATTTCTCTTACTGTTCCATTTTCTCTATGAACATCAGATATAAACTGACTGCACTGTTCTGCTAATCATGTAAAGTATATAACGAAATACATTAAAATTACACCACTTAAAAACAAAACACACTTCAATTTTGTAACTTTGTTTGCTAGTGGCCTACAGCCTTGTTTTAATGTACACTAAATGATGTGTTGAAACATGCTCTATTTTTTAATATCGATATATACTAGGCACATAAAGAAACTGTGCATACAAAAAATTAAAATCCAAATTTATCAAACCTGTGTAGACACATAAGGATTTAAACTCAGAGATTAGTGACATGTATCCAACATGCATGCACGTGTCACGTTCCGTGACGTCAGTGGGTTCGTCCTTGAGACGTGCAATACGTTGTTGCACGTGCAGTCCGGGAAAGAGAAACAGAGCAAATGAATGCCACACAATACTGTCACTTTGGAAGGTTCAACCCCTGCCCTTGCGATCGTTCACAATATTAAACGACTATTGAAACGCATAGCATGCCTAGGCTCACGTCTGCACAACGTCATGAGGCCATTGGGATGGTCCGTGGGGGAATGTCTCAACGACAAGTGGCTGCACATTTCCACTGCCACCGGAACACCATTTCTGCACTGGTGAGACGCTACCAGAACACAAATGACGTCATCGATCGGCCACGTTCTGGACGTCCAACGTGTAACAACAACAAGACAGGACAGATGAATAAGGGTGACCCATCTTCGCCACAGATTTCAGACTGCAGTGATGACTGCCCGAACCATCCAAGGACTTCGCCGTATCCACCCCAACACGGTTCGACAACGTTTACGTCATCACGGGATCAGACCACGACGTCCCGCCATACAGCCTATCCTGACACAACGTCATCAACAAGCTCGCCGAATGTGGTGCCGAAATCATGTCCGCAGACCCTTGTTTTGGTAGAGAAATGTTTTTACAGATGAATCCAGGTTTAACATTTCCCATAGTGATGGACGTCAAGGTGCCTATAGACGCGTGGGAGAACGTTATGCACAGGCCTGTGTCTTGGAGAGGAATCGCTTTGGGGGTGGTTCCGTGATGATTAGGGTGGAATAACAGCACGCCAAAGAACTCCTTTGGTGATTGTTCAGGGCAACTTAACTGGTGTGGGCTACAGGGATCAGATTCTTCGACCTGTAGCAATTCCTTTTCTGCAACGTCATGGCCATGGGTTAACATTCCAACAGGACAATGCCCGCCCTCATACGGCAAGGGTTGCTATGGATTTCTTGCAACACCACAACGTTGACTTACTGCCTTGGCTTGCAAATTCACCGGATCTCTCCCCGATAGAGCATGTTTGGGACGAGATGGATCGACGTCTACGCCGTCTTCCTCATCCGCCAGATATCGTCCTTGACCTTGCAACAGAACTTGAGAGAATCTGGCGTGACATCCCACAAGCCTTCCTTGCAAGTTTGATAGGCCCTATGCGTCGTCGATGCACTGCTGTTCTCATTGCCGATGGTGGACATACCCGTTTTTGAGCTTGTGACATGGTCGTTTGACCCCTGTCTCGCTTGTGGACTCGTGACGTCATTGTGATTGACTTTTCAACTGAAATTCTCCCGACTTGTTATGGTCTCATGATCCCTCCATTAAAGTTTATATGTACCTTTGACATTGTTATCGTACTTATCAACTGGGATAATATTTTGACAATGCACAGTTTCTTTATGTGGCTAGTATAGTTGGTTTTATACCTACAATTGTGACACCTACCCTACTGTTTTATTGTCCCTTGTAGACATACATTTAATAATCCATGGTGTTCTCATCCCGATATGGCTGTAATATTACTGATGCGATGTAAAATTTCATCCCACCCATTTCAGGTTTGGATGGAAGCGTCTTTACAGGTGTTTTTTTCACTAGGACCTGTGTTACAACGTAAATTGTAATAAAACGTAAAATGTAATAATTGCAGTAATAACCCTTGGCGTAAATTGTAATAAAAACGTAAATTGTAATAAAAATTGGTGTAAATTGTAATACGCAAGTTGTAATAAAATTGACGTAAATTGTAATAATTTTTGTTGCGGTAAAATGTAATAAATATTGACGTAAATTGTAATAACAGTTTTAATCGTTCGTAAATACGCGTGTGTTCGTTTTTCGTTGCATTTCATACATCATATAAGCTTGTTAGGACGATAACTCAAGAAAGAATTGACAAATTTTGCTTAAAAGTAGTACCCAGGTGCGTTGGGAGGATGTGCGGACACCAATTGAATTGGGCGACCTTCAGATTGATAAATATACTTATGGAAAATAATATTCGTCCTGATATATAATCGATATAAAATCTCCAACTATCCTCTCGATGTTTTGGGGGCAAATATCTGTTGAGGTTTTGATATGTAAACATATAGAGAGGGGGTATTCTAACGGGTATATCTAACACACTTAAATGCATGTGGAGTCGGTGTGTGTGTGTGTGTGTGTGTGTGTGTGTGTTCTGACGGGTATATCTACGAAGGTCGTTCAAAATGTAGTCAGCCTCAGTAGAATATGATACAAATGCAGCTGTTGTTATGTTTTATTTTTCTACATTTTATCTGTCAACCTCAAGCATATTTGTGTTGCTATGTTCCAGCCTCACGATCCCTATTTGGTTGACTTTTTATCTTGGTACTCCCAAAAACGCAAAATCTGCAATACATGCATCACAAACTTCAGGAAACAAAATGTGCAAGTGAGCGAGTGAGTTACAATTTTAAGTCACATCGGCAATATTTCAGCCATATCGTGACGACAAAACTGGTATATACTAAGTGAGTGAGTGAGTGAGTTAATATTTATCGTCACATCGGCAATATTTCAGCCATATCGTGACGACAAAAATGGTATATACTAAGTAGAAGTATATAGACTATTATATACTTTTTAATAACACTATTAAAGCAGAGGACAGTATAACGACTAGATTATCACACATTAATAAAACTACTTTGAGTTCAGAGTAAAATGCTAAATCGTTTCAATTTTGTTTTCTAAAATTGGGCTATAGATCGCCACCAACTGAAGGTAGATCACCATCCTAGGGACCATGGGGACTTCCGTTACTTTTGCTACCTGCATGGTCCCTAGCTGGATTTATATCATATCCTCAGCTGTTGGCGAATTTTGAGCAATTTAGCCATAAATTAAATTACAAACATTCTACGATTAACATTCTGGCAATGATCAACAAACATTGAACGATGTGTTCTTAAGTACCCTCTTCGGAGGACAGGGGCGGTGGGGCAGCCTAGTGGTTAAAGCGTCGGCTCGTCACGCCGAAGACCCGGGTTCGATTCCCCACATGGGCACAATGTGTGAAGCCCATTTCTGGTGTCCCCCGCCATGATATCATGATATTACTGGAATATTGCTAAAAGCGACGTAAAACTAAACTCAGTCCGTCAGTCTTCGGAGGACAATATCGATCAGAGTTGAGAGAGAATGGTTGTTACATGAAGTCACTCGCCATTGTCACACTTTGCTGTTTCCTCTGAATACTTAACCACACTTATTGTTATATCAGCTACATATTTAAAAAAATGTTCATCTAAATGAAATACATATCTGCTCTCTTTAACCGTAATATAGTAATATTTCAGTTACACTATGTATATAAAAAATGTATAACTTTCCATGGTTCATGTTCAAGCTCGTGCTTTGAACCCTGCCCCTTTGTTTGTTTATGTACAGTAAATTTACAGTTTGCACCATTCTCAAGCACTTTATACGGTTAATCTCAATCTGGATACTTGTCACCCACGTCCTCATACCGGGGTAGATTATATATTCAACAACCCATGCTTGCCACAATAGGCGACTATGCTTGTACTAAGATGCGACTAAAGGGATCGGGTGGTCAGGCTCGCTGACTTGGTTGACACATGTCATCGGTTCCCAATTGCGCAGATCGATGCTCATGCTGTTGATTACTGGATTGTCTGGTTCAGACACGATTATTTACAGACCGCCGCCATATAGCTGGAATATTGCTGAGTGCGGCGTAAAACAAACCTCTAACTCACTCACCTTGTTTGTTGTCAGTAACCTGGACATTCTGTGGCTAGTTCCAAGGCGACAAGATTTTCTGGAGGGTGGAAGGTGTCATACTGATTTTGTGGCTGACACTTTTATGGCTGCCACTTTTACTGCTGCTGAGAGATTCTACACGGTAGGCCCTGTTATTACTTTGGGCCAAGGACAAAGTTTGTTACGTGTCCCACTGGTGAGGCAGGGTGACCTCAACTTTGTTAATTGCTGAACATTAGAGATACAAAGACTGCATTTTTAAGCAGAACTATTGTGGCGATGCATTACGGTTCAGCCTCATGAGCCTCAAGAAAAGCGACACAAACATTGCACAAATTGTATGTCTGATGTTTGCGAGTTACATAACCTAGCTCACATAATAAATAACAAAGTGTTGAGAGGTAGGCCAAGGCCGTTTAATATAAGACGACACATATAATATAAGTGATTGTGTAGGTATGTCTACGATACGTGTCATGTTAACCTAGCCGTGTTAACTTAGCCGTCTTCGGACGTCATAAATGACGAGGTAAAATAGACTGCATTTCTAAGCAAAACTATTGTGGCGATCCATTACGGTTCAGCCTCATGAGCAACAAGACTGACTGACTGATTGAGTTTGGTTTTACGCCGCTTTTAGCAATATTCCAGCAACATCACGGCGGGGGACACAAGAAATGGGCTTCACACATTGTGCCCATGTGGGGATTCGAACCCGGGTCTTCGGCGTGACGAGCCAACGCTTTAACCATTAGGCTACCCCACCGCCCCTGAGCAACAAGAAAAGCGACATAAACATTACCCAAATTTTCGATGTGCATCCCCACCCGGGACCTCTTATTCATACTGACCTGAAAATAATTCATCTGAATGTTAGAGTGAGTGAGTGAATTAATATTTAACGTCACATCGGCAATATTTCAGCCATATAGTGACGAGAAATGTTTTATATAAACAATAAATTAAAGTTGCTAAATAATCAGTCATCGAAGGACTGTAAAATAACCAGAGTATCACAGATGGATTCTAAAACTAGCATGAACATGTAAAACTATTTTATTTATGAAGACAATACAATATAAAAACGGGCTATAGATCGCCAACAACTGAAGGTAGATCACCATACTAGGAACCATGGGGACTTACAGTACTTTTGCTACCTGCATGGACCCTAGTTGGATTTACACCATCCCTTCAGCCATTGGCGACAGAAGAGAAATCTAGCCATAAATTAAAAGCACACATATTCTACGATTAAAAACCTGGTACACTTAAATTGACTTTGAAAGTTTTGGGACTTACGTACCCCTCAGGAGGACAATAATTTTACGCTACGTCAACCCCCTTTGAGGGTACAGCCACTAACAATCTCAGTTACTAATATAAACTACCAACAATAAAATATTTAGCTATTTACAAATCAGTCAACAAATCTAATTGTTTTAAAAATGCAATAATTAAATGAGAACTGACATTATTAAAAAGATCCTTCAGAGTTTTGGATTTGAAATAGATATCCCTTGTGATGGAATATTCAATGCAGTCAAGCAAGACATGCTTGACTGTGATCCTTTCATCACAAGGGATACAAAGCGGAGGATCTTCGCCTTTCAATAAATATTCATGAGTATATCTGGAATGGCCAATGCGACATCGTTTGTTAATGACCTCTTCAAATCTGGACTGACAACCCAAGTAGGTGTAACCAATGTAGGGTTTTATTGCATGTAATTTATTAATACCTACTTGGGTGTCCCACTTCTTTTGCATCAGATCACGGATGTATGTTCTAATGCTGGCTTTATAATCAGAGTATGGAATAAGAAGTGGTGTCACAGATTTGTTGAGGGCTGCCTTAGCAGCAATATCAGCCATCGTGTTCCCAGAAATGCCAACGTGGCTGGGCAACCAACAGAAGACGATGTCGCATTGGCCAGTAGCAAGTTCATTGTACAATTCAATAATTTCTAATAAAAGTGGATGTTTGCAAGAAAGATTTTTAATAGCCTGAAGACACGAAAGAGAATCTGAAAAGATGATATATTGTTTATATTTACGGTGTTTATTAATATATTTAAGAGCTGTTAAGATGGCGTTTGCTTCTGCTGTAAATATAGAGCTGTTATCCGGTATTCTAGAAGGTATTGTTCGGGATCCAATGACAGTGGCACATGCCACTGCGCCACCATCCTTGGACCCATCTGTAAATAAGGATTTGTATGTATTATATTTATTTCTTAATTGACTAAATTCTTGTTTATACTGCAATTCATTTGTTTCTGATTTGTTAAATGTAGTTAATGTTAGGTCAACTTGTGGCCTAACCAATTGCCAAGGCGGAGAAGAAAGAAAACGAGAAGGAGCTATATGCTCTAGCTCAATGCCAGCAGCAGAAAGGAAAGGTTTCACTCTTATACCAAGAGGCGGAACAAGAGAAGGCTTCTTGTTATACAGATCTTCATAAAGTGGATTAAAGACACGGTTATATGCAGGGTTTAACTCATTGGAATAAAGTTTTGTTATATACTGTAAAGTTAATTTTATACGGCGTTGTGTAAGAGATGGCTCATCAGCCTCGACGTAAAGTATGTCAACAGGTGAAGTTCTAAAGGAACCAAGACATAGTCTTAGACCTTGGTGGTGGACAGAATCTAAAAGTTTGAGATTACTGTTGCAGGCTCCACCATAAACGATGGAGCCATAATCAAGTTTGGAACGTACCAATGATCGATATAATTGTAGGAGGGTAGCTTGATCCCCTCCCCACTTAGAATTGGAAACGACTTTCAACAAGTCAAGCGCCTTCAAGCATTTAGTTTTTAGTGACTTGATTTGGGGAAGAAAAGTTAGATGCGAGTCAAAAATTAAGCCCAAGAACCTGGCCTCCTTCACAATTTTGATGGGAGTGCCATTGAGGAACAGTTCCGGGTCTTTATGCGGTTTATATTTTCTACAAAATGTATACAATTAGTTTTGGATTTAGAAAATTTAAAGCCGTTTTCAAGACACCATTTATGTATTTTATTTAAACACAGCTGCATTTGCCGTTCAATAGTATGCATATTCTTACCGCCACAAGAAATATTAAAATCATCAACAAAAAGTGATCCATCAATTGAATCAGTTAAAACCTGTGATAAACTGTTAATCTTGATACTAAACAATGTAACAGACAAAATACTGCCTTGTGGGACTCCCTGATCCTGAATGTAATGGTCAGACAGGGTTGAACCCACTCGGACTTGAAATTGCCTGTCATTTAAAAAGTTGGATATAAAGTGAGGCAAACGGCCTCGTAATCCAAAGTCAAGTAAATCTTTTAAAATCCCATGTTTCCATGTTGTGTTGTATGCTTTTTCTAAATCGAAATAGATCGACACTGCATGCTGTTTATTAATTATGGCATTTTTCACAAAAGATTCTAAGCGCACTAAATGATCGATAGTACTACGGTTTTTACGGAAACCACATTGTATATTAGTTATAAGGTTATTGGTTTCCAAGTACCAAACAAGTCGATTATTTATCATGCGTTCCATGGTCTTGCAAACACAGCTAGTTAATGAAATTGGCCTATAATTGGAAGGATCAGTATGATCACGTCCAGGTTTAGGGATGGGCACAATTATAGCATCGCGCCACGACGAAGGAAATTGTCCAGATGTCCAAATGACATCAAAAATAGATAAGAGCGTCTCTAAACATGATTCAGGTAAGTGTTTCAGGAGTTGATAATGTATACCATCAGCTCCTGAAGCAGCATCGTGAGCTTGGTCAAGAGCAGTATGAAGCTCATGTATCGAAAAGGTTTCATTGTAGTCTTCCACATTGTCTGAATTGAAATTAATAGATTTCTTTTCCTGCTGTCTTTGATATTTCTGGAATTCAGGTACATAGTTTGATGAGGAAGAATGTTTCGCCAAAGTTTCTCCAAGTTTATTTGCTATGTCAGATTTATCAGTTAATAATTCATCTCCATTTTTTAGATGCTTAATGCTAGATTTAGAGCCCTTACCTTTTATTTTCTGAATCATGTTCCACACTTTTGATATTGACGTGCGCAAATTGTTGTTTGAGACATAGTTTCGCCAAGATTGGCGTTTATTTTGTTTGAAAGTACGCTGTGCTTCGGCGTTTAAAATTCTAAATTTGTTTAAATTGTGGACCATAGGATGGCGACGGAAATAATGTTCAGCTTTCTTCCGTGCCTCGAGAGCTTGTAGGCATTCAGCGTTAAACCATGGTTTACGTACATGAGGAACTGCAGAGGATTTGGGGATACACTTGTCAGCTATGTGTCTGAGCTCATCTGAAAAACATTTGATGGCATCAGGAACATCATGAAAAAGTTCAGGTTTGAGTTTGTCAGCACAGAAAGTTTCATATAAAGGCCAGTTAGCCTTCTTAAAGTTCCATCTTGATGATGGAGGAACATCAGATGGATTCACGGGTTTGAGAATTGTTGGGAAATGGTCACTTCCACACAGGTCGTCGTGGACTGACCACTCAAATTCATTCAATAAGTCTGAGTCTGTAATTGATAAATCAAGGGCTGAATAAGTTCCTGTGCCAGGATGTAAATATGTGCTAGAATCGTCATTATATATGCATACATCATTATCTGAACAAAAGTCTTCTAATAGTTTACCTTTAGCATTAGTAGTGGTACCACCCCAGAGCGGGTTGTGGCCATTTAAATCTCCCATAATGATACAACTGACTGACTGAGTTTGGTTTTACGCCGCTTTTAGCAATATTCCAGCAACATCACGGCGGGGGACACCAGAAATGGGCTTCACACATTGTTCCCATGTGGGGATTCGAACCCGGGTCTTCGGCGTGACGAGCCAACGCTTTAACCATTAGGCTACCCAACAGGCCCATAATGATACAAGGTTTGGGGAGTTGGTCATATAAATTTTGAAGGTCAGTCTTCCGAAGAGTTGAAGACGGTGAGATGTACAATGAGCATAATGTGAACGCAACATGTAACGTCAGTCGTACTGCAACCGCCTGGAGACAAGTAGTAAGTATAACAGGGCTGTGGATAACACTTTGTTTGATAAGGATCGGAGATCCTTCAGTGGCCCGATCACCTGGAGGTGAAAAGGAGTGGTATGCATTGTAATTACGTAATTCAAATGT